AATTGCCACGATGGGAAGGAAGGTGAGGGAACGGAAAGGCGAATGGGTCCGGTGATTTGAAATGTTAAACATTGTTTCACTCGCTCTGCTAAGTGCAAATCACAAGCGGCTGAAAGCTGCAGTGGGAAACCTGTTTATGGGGAAGGATCACATGAAAAACCATGAACCAAGCCGTGGAAAAGGAGGGTGACAGCTTGCGAAAACTGCGGCAGGTACGTTCAGAGAGCGTCCTCTCCGAATATCACATCCGATCAGCAGCGTCTTTGTTAGGCAGTGACTGCTGAAGGGATCACTGCCCCCCTGCCTTCGTGGAAAGTTGGTTCAACTAGAAACCCTTAGAAACAGGGTGTGACACACACACACACATCACATAGCCCTGCCAAGCAGTTTCGCGATTCCAGCTGTCACAGCGACATTCACTTCTACCACTACTCACAACCTCACGATTCCCTGTGTCTGCCACGAATTTCCGTGTCCACACATCTAACGCGCGCAAAGTACTGCGCATGCCACGAAATGTCACCTCCGTCACACCTCGCAACCTCACGGTTCCCTGCGCCTGCCACGAAAATCGCACTTCCACACCTCAAAACACGCACAAAGTACTAGTACTGTGCCTGCAACGAAAAGTGACAAGATCATATCATGTGAGCTTCAACAAAATTTGCACCACGCTACACGTTTGGAATGATTTCGACCCGTTCTGAGCACATCCAACACCCCAAAAACACCACTCTCCAAACGCTAGTCCCAATGGAACTGCGCAGAAAACTGCGGATCTCACAAACCGCTGTGCCTGCGCAGTGAAATCAAACTCCAAACTTCAACATCTTACATTTCCACACGCTTCCACGCTATTTCACACGAAACTGACACGTCACGTTTCCATCCGAAACCAACTCCAAAAGCTTCCCCCAATGTCAGCGCCTTAGCGCCCTACCGCGGACGGTTGCGGACGGTTGTGGACGGTGCGGACGGTTGCGAACAGTTGCGGACGGTTGCGGACGCAGAAACAACGGGTCGCGAACAAGGCTCTACCCCCAGACCCCCAGAGTTAAACGAGAACCCTTCGCTACGCATTCGGGAAAAACAAATAGAAGGTGCTTGAGCCTTTTCAATAAGGCCCCTCTAAGAAGACCTGTCCTTTATCCCTCACGAAGACTTCTTCTTTTTATGCAAAAGACTAAGAAGTCGAGGACCAAAAGCCGCCAAAGGTTGTGACGCTTCGGCCGGGTTCTTGTCACAAAGACTTCCCCGCTGTTTGAGGCCTTCCCAATCTCACTGCCGCTCTTCGATGCCGTAGCAGCAGCAACAAGGCCTTTGCCCCAAAGAGTGCCTTAGGCTACAGAAGCTACTGAGACATGAAGGCAAACAATCAGGTCAAAAGCACTGCACAACCAGGCTGAACGCTTGAATTCACTGCAGGATCTTCCGCATGAACTCACATTGAGGAACACGCCAACGCAGCTACCTGCCACGACCACGAAAAGCTGGTGGCCGACCTTGTCGCAGCATTCCTCTTGATCCGCGGCCCTTCCCAACACAAACATCTCAGGTCTCAAATCCTGGGAGAAAGGCCGTTGTAGAAGCAACGCTTAGGTTTGGGGTGTGTGATGTCAGTTGCCAGATGCAATCGAGAAGTCTATGGGGAAAAAGAAACGCTGTCCCGCTCGGAAAAACGGTGCATTTCTGGATGTTGCAGTTTCAGCCTCCGTAATTAGGATCGGTTCCATCAATGTCAATATGGCTATAGCACATCTCTTGCTCCGACATGTGTCACACACTGAGTTTTCTTTGCAGCCTTGCTTGGGTTCTGGCAAAGAGTGCTGCGACACCTGAGGCACAAGGATGCTAGAGAAAATACATGGAAACTGCCCCATTCCAAAGAAACTCACCATGGAGTTGGAGGGAAAGGAGTGGAAGAAGTCAGGGAGAAAAGCAGAGTTTTGGAGGTCTTGCCGCCGTAGCACCACTGCAACCAGGAGCACCGGGACGTTGGTCCCGCAGGTCTGCGTCAAGATCCAGCACAGCGCTGCTTAAAGCAGCACTTAACGCCTTGGGGTCCTCCCCACTCTTCAGACGCCTGCACTGGGGGCCGTGTTTCTCAATAGAAGCTTCCACTGGCAAATGAGCATGCATGACAATTACAAACAAATTCGGAGGGTTATATACCTCAGCTTTAAGTGAACTGTGAATGAAACAAAAGAAGGCTTGGTAGTTCCCCACATGCCGGTGTCGGGTTCTTACTTTTTCCGTGAAACCGCCGCGCTGCGACTCCTTCTTCTCCTCCTCACACTGCCTCCTCCCACTCAACTCATACCAACTCACTCACACTCAAACCGACTCAGTCACACCACCAACTTACACCACATGTTGTGAAGACTTCAGGTGGGCAGATCGTTTCCACAAGATGACGGAGACTTCCCATCTCAGAATCATTGGGGTGCAGCTCAAACCGCACGCACAAAGGATTTCACCAATGGGCCAACAAGTCAAGAACATGATCCGGCAATTTTGAAGGATCCTGATCAGGCTGAATTGGCTACTAGGATGTTGGGCAGTTGGGGAACCCGTCATTCAGTCTATGGCTTGGGCTAGCGTCCACGCAAGGCACCTTGCCTTCGCCGATTGGGGCACCTTGCAAGAGGGTATGAAGTCTCTCTTGCGACAGAGTGCACATCGGATGCTGATGCTGTAAAGTTTGTGAATGTTCTTGTTTCACCTGGTGATGCAGCAGTACACCATGATCTTTGGGAAGGACGCTATCAGCATGATAGTGGTGCCTTTTGCCAGGCTTTCAGGTGCCACGGTTCATGCATGAAGGTATTGAGATTGAGGAGCATAAGTACATGCCCATTGCTGGACTTGCTCGTTTGGAAAATGAACCTGCTGGCAATTATCCTGCGGTGCTTCATAAGACATGTCATCTGTCCACTGGCTGGTATACATGTGAGGACAGAGGGCAACCCACAGCAGTGGACAAGCTCCCGGCTTGGTTTGTGTCGGTCACCTTGGTGTAGGGTCAGGACTCTTTTCAGAATGTGGGAGTCAGGACTCCGCAGTGCTTCAGCTTTTCGCTGAATTGGGCTGCGGTGTTTTTGGGCACTTTGAACATAGATGGACGCAATGGCCTTGAGGTGCTAAGGTCATAGGCACAAAGCCGGAACAGCTTGCCGTTGAAAACACAACAAGCTAAGACCCACACCAACTCAACTCATAAACCAAAGCTTGCAAGTCTAAAAGGTTGTCCAAACTCCGAAAATGCTTTCCGAGATTGAAGCTGTTGGTGCGCATAAAACTGCTGTATCACGCAACACACTAATGAGTTCAGTTCAAAATTTGTGATGTACATATTTTGGGTTTGTAAATTGTTGGAAACCCCTATATGAAGATATATTCACGTATCATATCATGTTCATTCATCATTAGCATCATCTTCGTTATCTACCTACTTCAAAAGACCACTATCACACGCAGAGATCCTCACGCATCACACCATCGAATCAGTCTCGCCTCATCCGCTATCACTCCTTTGCCGTTTGCTTTCTTGTTCTGTTTGGTTCGAAGGAAAGCTTGACATGTGGGGTGATCCGCTTCCCCTTGTTACTAGTACCTTCTTGTTACTAGTAGTAAGGCCAGGAGCGCCCCTAGTAGCGTCCTTGCTCCAAGTAGCGATGCCCTTCGTTACTAGTAGCTATTCAACCCTTCAAAGCTTTGCAAATACGGTTGCCTTTCATACATCGGCACTGCCTCAGCAGCCGAGCATGCAAATGTTTAGCACAATGCTCCGCCGCACCAGGGTCTCCATCAAAGGCCAGTAGTAGTGCTGTAGGATCCTGAAATGCATATTTGGATCTGAAGCATGTGATAAGTTTCAGGAGTCGCTGCAAACAGCCGATAGACTGGAGAACAATGAGGTTCCGGTCCATTCAACAACGTGAAACTGCTCAGTTTCGGCCTTCAGTGGCCATGGCTGCTTGGTCGCCGCCGCTACCTTGGACAGGTCTCGGATAAGCACATGCCGTATCGGTGCCTAGCGCAGAGGCCACTGCACAAGAGAGGCATCTATCAAGGCTCTCTGCCGATGTCCCTTCACAAGGAAAAGAATGCAAAAAATACAAGCCATCCATCTCTCAACACAAATAGCAAACAGAATCAGTCTATGTCAACACTACCATTGTTCACACACACAAAAGTTTGCACAAAAGAATCTGTCATCTATGCTTCTCATGCTTGTGCCTGCCTTGATCTTGGGGTCTGCTTGCAAAGTGCAGAAAGCACCAGTTACCAAAGAGGGAATTGCCACCATGGCTCAGCTGTGCATCTGATTCTTGACGTCAGTCTCGGACTGGGCAGCTTCCTAACCTCTTCCTAGCCTCTTCACGTCTCCCTAAGCAGCTTCAACTCTTCTCAACAATGAAGACGTAACAACTGGTCAACATGCTAAGGACTCAGGACTCGGACTGGTATCTTTGGACGTGCTGTTGAGAAGCTCCAAGTGCTCAAGTTCACTCATTGGGCTTAAAGGGTCTCTCTTGCCTCCAACACTGGGTGGTCCTTGCTCCAGGAATCCATGTTCATTCAATTTCATGTCATTCTTGCAGTAGCGTTCTTGGGCCATTTGGCTGCAGTTTTCCTGTGTCTCCTCAATGGCCCGTGTCCAAGTGAAAGAACATCTACCATGGCAAGCAGCTTGCGCTGCTGAAAAGCGGCAGGCAAAGGGCACCTTCCAGACCATAGTCTCTTTGTGCCTGCATCTGCTTCTTTTTGGATCAACACCAACTGGAAGACAAAGAAACCAACCGAACTGCTTGGGCAACGAACCTCCAGCCGTCACCGGAGTGATCCCTGCAGGTGATGCTGGCCTTTTCGTGCCTGACGTGGTCGTCTTCACCAGATCTTTCAGTCAAGTAGAAGATCAGAAGAAACTGATTCGATTTGAGTCAAGAAAAGCAGAAGGATCATATTGGTTACTGTATCTATTTGTAGACAATCGCCCACAAGACAAAGTGTCCTTTCGAACATCCGTTTTTAAGCAGGCATGTTTTTGCTTAAATGACATGTCCTCTGAATTGCTTGTTTCTAATTATTGTTTCTAATAGCTTCTTGTTCCTAGTAGTACGGCCAGGAGCCCCTAGTAGCGTCCTTGCTCCTACCCCCTAGTAGCGTCCTGGCCTGCACGGCGTTTGTAATAACTGGGCGCTGCATCGCCAGAGTTGTTCCCAGAGTTGTTCCAGTGCAGGAAGAATTCCCTGGCCACACTTGTGCCGTGGAAGCTCTTTAGGAAAAAAAATAAGTTCCGCCGTGTCCAATCACGCCCAAGTCAACTCTTCTGAGTGTAGTTCCACAGCTCAGATATCTGCTAACTTCAGTAACTTCAGTAACTTCCCAGGTGTCTCCAGGGTTTCTCTCCTCACTGCTTCTTGCAGGAAGTCCCAGTCTCGGGGCGGCCGACCGATGGTCTTTGTGAGCGCCTAGTCGGGCATAGCACAGCGCAGGTGAAGAACCAAGGTTTGCAAAGAACATACTTTTCCAAACAGCCAGTGATAGTTTGACATCAAGCGTCTTTTTAAAGAGAAGAGTTGCAAAGTCGGGTGTCTGATGAAAGCATCTCAAAATCATTCAGTGTGGCTATCTTTTGCCAGACTTCGCCATCTGAGGCTCCAACACTAGGGACACACGAGAAGGGATGCTCCTGGCACAACATTGTAACAACGGGACTGTGAGCCTGTATCCTTGACCTCCAAAATGATGCATTGTTTAATTGATTTTAATTGTGTTCAATTGTACTTTTTGTTTGCCACTTTGCGCATCGAAACAGCATTGACTTTTTGCAGTGCCCTGCCTCCCCGTAAGGCGCCAACAGCTCTTGAAAAAGCATGACCTGTCATGCCACATGGACTACTTTCAGCAGTCAGAATGGAAGGTGACTCATCGTGACAATGAGGCTAGGACCCGACCACACTTGCAGCAACGATGGCCCGGCCACAATTCAAAAGGCAAGAAAGCTGCGTTTCATCAATTGGCAGGGTGTGCCGCACTCTCATGATTCATCAGGCCGCCCTGCACACAGAATGCCATAAGCTTCTCTCATGTGAGGAACAATAATACTCCACAATTGTGGATGTCTCTCCTGTGACATGATCCCAAGAAACCTCGTCCACATTCTTGGCGCTGAACAAACCCTCGTCTCACTCATGGATGTTCAAAATGTTTCCTACTTATATATCAGCTCAGACTATGTGCATATACAGCTCCAGGTCTTTGGAAACCTCTGCCTTGTCCATTCCTCAGACCATCCAGTTCTAGAGCTAGCTGCTTCACGGACAAGACTTAGAAGCTACTTATCATCAACGAGAAGGGATGTTCCAAATTCCCCAATATTGACCGCTGCGTCACAAAGACACGTCCGGCCTGCTCCGCTGCTTGCCAGGCCTTTCCTAGACTGTGATGAATCCAAGACCTGACACTGGGAACTGGGGTAACTGGGACCACAAACATACTTCTTCCAGTGGAGCTGTCCTTGCAAATGACAAGCAACTTTTGGAACACTCTGACGGAAACTCTCTCCACACGCTCTTTGCCTGGTGAAGGCTTCAACTCGCTGCAAATCGTCTCGCCTTGATTTAGCCATGCCAGGAGCCCCTAGTAGCGATGCCCTTTGCTCCTAGTAGCGTCCTCTTTAGTCGTGTCTACCGTACATTCGGCCTAAAGTTCGACCTGTCAGCAACGACCATCTTCGGATGGTAACTCTCAGCCCAATGAGCGGCATCGTGCATCACACCAGCAAATCTTGCTGCTGAACTGTGGTTTGCGCTCTCAGTGTCATGCAAATAAATCGTGCTCACCTCCTTCAAGGCAGCTTCATGGCCGTTCTTCAGCCCCTGCGATGCTTTTAAGCGCAGCAAGCAGTGGCACCAGCCAAATGTGCACTGGGTTTCCTGGTACACACGTGCGGCTGTCAAAGCTCCTTGTTCAATCTCATACATAGATTCGGGGGGGGCATCCCTTCCCTCGGTTTGTGCAAATTCTCAAGATTGAAGGCGGCTCACATCTTCTGCCCCGCATATTGTGTTTTGAAGCTTGCTCACGTGTGGATGGTTGTCAGTATGGTTCGGGAAGCAAAAAATTACCTTCTCTTTGGTGCTCTTCTGTGAATCAAGTGACTGTCCTTAAAACCACCCTTGTCTTGAAAGCAAATTGACATTTGGATGGCAACTGCCGGACTCCGGGTTACCCCCCTTCCTTGCAAATCCACCCAATGCCTTGTACAGCTTGTTGCGTAAAGGCCTTACAAATCAAATGCTTCAAATGAAATCTGAGATGGATGACCTTTCGTCGCATTCAAGGACACTACAGCAGCCTCTAAGCCCCTTGCTCATTGTCTGGCAGAAAAATGCCAGAAGAGTCCCACATGGCCTGTTGAATGTGAGACGTTCAAGAATCTGTTCAAAGCTACTAGTGTGATGCGTGTAAACAGCGTGGGACTAACTTTGAGCCGTGGAGCACTTCAGGACGAGTGAAACTGCTGAAACTGCCATCACTGTGTGTCACATTGCCTTCTCCAAGAGGCAATCATCCATGAGCTCTTCGTACCTGTCAAGGCTGCAGCAAATTGTCAGGCCCCGTCATCCCGTCATCCAACTATATGGCAAAAATTGATATGATTTTTGAAGAAAAAGAAATGCCCTCAAAGGCGAATCCACTCAAGCTGGCGCGCTTGGAGTTAAGAATAGCTTCAACTTCAGGCCACTGAGCACCTCTAGGTGAACAGCTTCAATGCTCAAATTCTACACATGTCAGGCTCCTCAATCCAAACAGCACATGGTCGAGAGAAGGTGACTGCACAGGTCCAGACTCTGGCCGCTGCCACTGAAAATCTCCCAGAAGGCCATGTGGAAAGTAGAGGTGAGATCCATGTCGAAGAACCTTTGAGTCTTTGAGTCAGTCCAACCGTTTTTTTCTTTCTCTTTTAAAGCCCACCGTTACTTAATTAAGTAGGTGCCTACTTAATTAAGTAAGGGCAACCAACTCACGTTTCCTTGAAGAAGCACTCGCGATAAGGATTTAGGGAAACTTAACTTACTGGTTCATTCGCCACATTTCATAGGACGCCGGACCAATCTTTCTGTGCACACGCGTTGCTGTATCCTTATCACACCAATGCTTCAATTCGGAAATCATGGAACCTTGTTGGGCCTTGTTGAACACGTTGAACCCATCACAGAATCTCTTCCCTTCACATAGCCCATGTCTCAGCTTTCGCACCCCTCATCGCATTCTCAATAAACTGCATCGCTGCCTCGTATCATCTAGATATTGGGTGTGTAGTGAAATAAGCAGATCTCAGATCTCCAAAAAACACACAAAAAAGTAATACCTGCGAAGGGGGGGGAACGAAAGCCAGCAGCCGCCAGACGAGAGGGTCTTTTGCACCAACCACTATATTTGCCCCAATACATCCAACCAGACTTCTCTGAAAGGATGACTAGGAGGATGGCAGGAACTATATGCCTCAGCATTGGTGTCACCAACCGTCATCCAAAAAATATTGCACAGATCCGTGACTATAACCTACCATACTGGCCACAATACATCCAAGCAGTTCCACTTTGAAGCAATCATCATTCCCCAACAGCCCAGGCAGTTTCTTCCGGCCAAGACCTGCTTCTTCCAAGGCACAACTTGCTTTCTATCTATCTATCACTATCTATCTATCAAGCCAGCTCTATCTATCTAGCTATCTATCTATGATCTATCGATCTATCTATCTATTCTGTATCTATCTAGCTGCGCGGCCCAGCCGGAACAACGTTCAGCGCACGTGGACGCCGCGAGAAGCATCCGCCCGACCGAGGAAACGGCACAAATATAGTAGCATCACCAGACCCCATTTTCACTGCTTTTCTGACCCTCGCTTTGGAGCGCTCTCCCCCAGCAAGCTCCGGGTTCACCCTCTCAAATGGTGCCTTTTCGCGGCCTCCCCCCCCACACCCCCTTGGCCCTTAACTCACTTCGTTCGCTCTAAGAGCTCAAGCCTAGCCTATCGGCTGGCTTTCGTAATAAATCAAGAAAATGGAGAGTCCCCATATCAAACCACAAACCCAAGCCTGAAAAACAGGGGCCAACCCGCAACAGTTTCGAGAGGTCTCAACAAGTATGGTATTAAAACAAACAACCTCTGTCCTTCAATTCAAAGTGAAGAATGGAATCCCAAGGTGGGTTGAAACTCAACAAGAAGGGTAAACAAAAATGCACATAGGTTACCTTCCGTACAAAGTGGATCCAAGGTCAACGAGGCTTGCCTGTTGCCAGGGCAAGGTTAGTAGCTCCGGTGCCTGTGCACCCTTGTAGAGATACCTGAGGCCATCAAAAAGACTATCAACCACTCAGTTGAAGAACTTTGCCGGTGTTTCACTGCGCGCACTTGACAACTCTCTTGCAAAGCTCTGTGTGGTCCCAATCCTTTTCCCTGTCGGCAATCTTCCCTGTCGCCTGCGTTTGCCATCAAACCAGACAGAACAAGGCCAGAGTACGCGACGCCGGCAAAAAGAAACAAAGGGCGCATCATACACAAAATCCAAAGTCTCGGCCTTCCAAACTTGTTTGTTCAGGCTGCTGTGAACCTTCTGCAGCCTCGGCAACAGATGGGTCGACCCCTCGCTTCCGATTTCAAGACCCGGTGGGTATCGACCGGGCACCCGAGCACTTCCTCATGTGACTTCACAGGTCCTGACATCACCGGCCTCAGCGCCGCGAGCTGCGCCGCGAGCTGCACCGCGACGCGGCGAAAGGCCAGGGATGTTCAAACGGGACTCCAAACGCATAGCCACCACGGTACTGCACGGGTTTCACTCTGGCCTGTACGATTTGTGCTTCACAGCGAACTGAGTCGGTGAGTGAATTAGTCCGCCCCGCCTTGGCCGCTGCCGTTTGGTGTGGGCTGGGAAACTGAGCTGCGAAACCTCAGCTTTTGGTAGCAGTGCTTGTTCGCAGAAAGAACTATCAGGTTGGTGCAGTACCAGTGCCTGTTGGGTATAACACCTGCTATTTTGGTGCAGTTCGATATGAGCTTGACTGCTTGGGCATGGACTTTGTGGCGTTGGTCTACCGACCTGCCACTTGCTGTGAAAACCCAAAATTGAGAACGTCGCCGTTGCAGGTTTACAAACCGCAAACGATGCCAGGGCCTGTGCCCTCTGCACATGTGCTTGCGAATCTGGTCGCACCTGAAATAGCTGTTTCTTCTGCACCAGGGCGCTTGTCAGTTCAAGGGACGACAAGGGATTCTGCGCTTCCTTCTGAGAAACTTGCAAAAAGCTATTGGTTCAACAAGGGAGCTACGTTCATTGCCCCGAGACCGTTGGCATCTTCATACCTCGCATGGCTGCACAGAGTCATTTCTCATGTGCTATTGACCTGTAGCGTCTCTACCCTCTTGATTCGATGCGAGGGCTATGCCCGCTATGCGCATCAGGCAGAGGCGCACAGGAAAAAGGTCACAGCGCAACCAACACCAGGTAGATCATCCTGAACATCCTCACAGCAGAGTAAAGCCACAAAGCCATTCAGGAAGAGTCCATCCTGTACATCCAACCCAGTAGGGCCCAGTATCTCACTGGCCTCTCCCTGCAGGTAGATCCTTCCCCCATTCCTGTCAATTCAGCACTCAAATCACACAGGCCACATCAGAATCTAGGGGAAGTAGTGCAAGACTCGCATCTTTTTGTGTAAAGCATGTGACTCAAAAACTATTTGGGCTGTGCGCTCCCAGCTTGGCCCTGCCTGTTGGCCTGTGGGTGATTGATAGCTTCGTTGGCCTGCACATTGCGCGTTCAATTTATTCCACACTAAGATCAGCCAAGAGCTAAAGCGTGCCGCCACCAGTTGCTGGTAAGTTGCAACCGCTGCCGAAACGATTCGAAAAACATACACCGTGTCAGCCCCCGCATCATGTGCACCTGGATCCAGCCATATTTGTCAAACCTAGGAACTGAAAAGGAATCGATGCTAAAGCAAAAGCATTGTTTGAAGGGAAGAAAAGTAGATAATGGGATCAATAATTGGGCGCAAAGTACTCCAATACATCAAAGAAATCATGCAGTGAATGTCTGCGATGAACAACATGAAAGTCATCGTAGGAGAAAAGAATGGCATAGGCTTTCGAAGGTTCAATGTTGCTACTCTTAACACTGAGGTTTATGCCACTCTATCACATTGCCACGCAAGCGCTTGGTGCCTCGTTTATGCAAGTGTATAGATCAAAGTTTATGGACCAAGAAACATTACCTTGCACGACATGTTGATTCTCCTGTGGTGCAACGTACATGCTTCACCACAAAAAGAACTGCTATCATGTGTTTGAAGCGATTATGTAATATGTCCGTAGGTAGTGGAGCAAAAACGTAGCCCTGTCAATTGCCGACATTTCATGCTTGGAAGACTTTAGAAGAACGTCCAGCTTCGTGCACGGGGTTTCGTCTTGTCATCAACCAAGGCTGCCACTCACTAGCTTGCGTCCTGCAGAGCCTCTCAGGATTTGAAAGTTTTTGAGCTCCAAGAACACAATAACACCAAAGGTTTGCACAGATTGAAAAGGTGGCATATTGCAATGTCTTGGCTTTTTCGAACAAAACAATGATGGCAGCTAGAAGCCGTGCCTCCAGCGGCTGGCATGCTGCTGAATGGCCACAGTTGCAAAACGTGTTGATCGGACTACAAAAATGTGATTTCTCATTGCAGATAAGTTTTGGCTGTTGATGTTGAAGGTTCAAATAAGCTGGAACTTACTCTGTTTAGGGCAAGCGGGGGGTATACCTGAGGGGGGAAGTCTGATTTCCCTTGACTCATCTGTACTGTCAATGTCTGCATATGCAGAACATATGTCCGGTGATAAAGAGAGATACTAAGATACATTGCCTGGTCATTGGTAAACTGGCCACTATCTTCTGCTCTTGACTGGGTTTCATGATATATTTTTGTTAAAGAGAGCCAAAGGCCTTTGTCGCCGGATAATTCCTAATTGATACAGCATGTGGCGATCAAGTTATGCCTGAATGATGATGCAGCAGAAATTGTTTGCAAGATTCTTGTCACTAGCATACCAAACAGAAATCAAGTCATATTTTCCATGGTCCACTTCGACAGAAGTACAGAATACAGAAATACCACGTCGGCAAACATTGGCAGAAGAATCTCCAGGCATTGAATATTACTATATAAGTAAGAAATAGAGAACTCCTTATGGATTACAGAATTACAGACAAGCTGCATAGAACAAAGATCAGCATAATATTTGCAAACATCTGGAGCCAAGCAAGACAGGCGAGTTTATGTGGGCATACAGAAGCACCTGAACAAAAGCCGTCTGGAGATTCAACTTTAAAAATTGATTTGTCAAAAAGAATCAGGCTCACGAACCTGGAACATGTGACACGCTGTGTTGTAACTGTGATCTCTACCGCTGCCTTTGCGAACGTGGAGATTCTTGAGAACGTGTTCGTGTTCAATTCATATATAGAGAAAGATTCACGGAGCAAGACATTCATGTTTGACCAGGCAGTCAACCCAAATGGATACATCTGCTTTGAGATGACAAAGAGGCGTCCTGGGTGCAATATCCCTTCACGAGGCATAGCCAGGACAAGCCCAGCTGCCACGCTTGCTTGTCACAGTGGGATTTGCCCAGCAACTAGCCTCTTCTTGGCCAACAAAACCATTGCCGGCCAGCGTTTCTCACTGCACATGCTGCAGCCTTCGTGTGATCTGCCAAAATGTAAGGAACAACCAACCAAACAGCTTCCCTCATGCCCAGCCCTGATATTGGCTTCTTAGGTTGAAAGTTGCAAGTCAAGTCGATTCTGAGAGTAGCAAGAGTTGGATCGGATAGTGAAAGCAAGGCGAAAGCAAGGCTCGCAAGGGTTGGAAAACTGACTGAAAAGTCTGAAAACTGGCAAACAAACTTGAAATAAATCTGCCAGATGTTGAAAAAATAAACTAAGTTTCCGCAAAGACCCAGGGAAGAGGTGCCTTTGTTCAACTTTGTTCCATGTCTTGGCTTGTTAACCAGCTCAGTGGAACTCTTCGACCAGCACAAGGCTTTGGCTCTCGGTCTCAAGAGGCCGGGCTAGCATCATTTTGACGCGTGTAGGCCTTCACAAAGAAGACAAGACAACCAACTAAGACGTCTCAAAAGTGTGTCAGTGTAATTTGATACGGCTTTCCCAGCACACCAAGCTCCACACTGCAAAGTGTTGGACCTTCCCAGCATGTCTCCAAGCATGTTATGTGGCTCCGGCTCAGGGCATGTCGTTTGGTTGTCTGCACCGAGGCTTCCCCTTGCTGAGGCCCTTGCGAAGGACTGCATCAAGTCGTCCTCACTACAACACACCAGAGACTTGAGCTAATACCTCTTCCTTGAATTCCTTCCCAAGCAAATCCCCAACCAGCATGCTTGAATCACCGGGCGCTTGGCACTCCTGCTTTTCTGGGGAGCCACATCCACTCTCCTGCGCTGCAACCCTTGCTTTGTGAGTCTGTGGAAGCTGCTGTAACTGTCGATCCTAAGGCTGCTTCACAAAACAGCGGGTAGTAGAATGTGGTTTGACTGCTTTCATATTTCTTGCTTTCTCCGGTTTCCAGAAGCTGTGAAAAAAGGTCGGAGACCAACCTGCTTCAGAGGACGTCAACCCTTACAAAGGCACAAGTCTGTTCAATCCCAGCTCACTATGGCGTCCTTAAGTGGCAAAGCCTGGATTGACTGTGCCACGCGAAGGAAGGGCACAGCGTTGTACAAACATTGCAAACCCAACAAGCCCATGCTCAAGCAACAAAAAGAAAGTCTGGTTGCAATCCAAATAGCTACCTGGAAGTCTGAAACCAATCTGCTTGGGACAAAATATGTGAGCCCATGTGAGCTCCTGGAAGATTGTACGCTATTCACTTGCCATGCGTTACAATCACTCCACCGTCGAAGTTTCTGTGCGATCCAAGTAGCCATAACATCCGCATAGCTCGGGATGCCTCTGCTCCACTACGCACAAATATACGCACAAAGACGTTTGGCAAAAAAAACGCACAAAGACTTCTGCTCCCGGGAAAAGAGATTTCTTTGTAAAAGCACAGCTGGTCGCGTCACACAAATACTCGCCACATCCCTCACTCTGCACCGGCAATTTGTTCAGTCCAATTGATCAAGACTACAATCGAGGGTTGATGCTCCCATTTGAGTGAGAAACGCTAGACTATCCGAACCAAACTGGAGTACAAAATATGTTCTCCTTTGCGAAGGTCTAATTGTTGCTTCAAGTAAGCAAGAGCTAGAGCGATGTCGCCACACAGCCTGGATCTCTTCGGCGTAGTCCAGGTGAAACCTTATCAAGAGTTTTCTTGAAATCCTAGGGCCTTTTGCATTGCAAAGGGACCTGTCTGTAGGAATGCTTGCAATCCTTCGGTGTTTCGAGCAATTCCAAAGACAAAGCCTCTGGTTTCTCGAAAGAAACCTGGAACAGTGCTCAGTGCTAAGGCTAAAGGAAAAAAAAGTTCTTTGACCGCAGCCGGCCGGGGAGATACAGCAGCACGGGTGGCCGCATAGCAACAAGTCTGTTGCCGGATCTGCCGAAGCCTTGGAGGGCACAGAAACTCTGGTCGAGACAAAACGCTCAAGACTCAGTGCTTCAAACCGGCATCTCCTGTGTCTGTTGGTTCTGAACGCCCTCTCTCCCAGTTACATGGCGCGACAGCGACTTCTGGGTTTCAGGCAATTCCTGGCTGTTCCGACTTCGCACGCCTTGAAAGCCGGCTTGCCACGGTCTCTTGGCCCGAGTGCCAACCCCGAGATTCCCGATTCTCCGACGTGTTTCTTAACCATGTGTAGTGAAGGTTTCCCATAGTCTGGGGTCAGGGTGGTGGACCTGTGTTCGAGCTAATCGTCCGGATAAGCCTTCCCCCGTTGGGGTAAGTTTTTGAAGGTCTTGGATGAAAAGCGTCCGATTCGTGTGAGAAGTGCAGAATCACGGCATAGTTCTCAATTTGATTCTTGGGGGAGATCCAGTACAAAATGCTCGTTTTGGAGACTTGGCGGGTTACTTGGCGGAGGCCTCGAACGAAACGCTTGCTTTGGAGAGTTGACGCATGATTTGCGAGGAGGCTGAGGCCTCCTACGAACTGTTCACTTTCAAATCTCGGTTTGACACGTCACGTTTTGAGGATGTCTTCTTTGAAGTGCTCGTTTCTTTGGATGATCGACGCATGACTTTTGGAATCTTTTGGACAGGACGTGTGCTCGTACAAGAGCTTCACACAAGAGCCTCCCACCAGAATATCCCGCAAGAGTAGCCCACAAGAATGTCTCGCAAGCACTTCCAGCAATAGTCTCCCGCAGGAGCATCCTAAAGAGTGCCCCACAAGACTCTCCAACAAGACTGTCTCACAAGAGGGTCCCACAAGAGTGTCCTACACGAGTGTCGCAAACCCAGAAGAGTGTCACCCGAGAATGTCGTTCAAAAGTGTGGTTGAAGAGGGTGGCGAGAGTATCAAACAACGTTCAGCCATTTGTGCTTGCGTACGTGTGCGCATTCGGGTTTGTGGACTTCTCCCGTTTTCCCCAATGCGTAGCGAATGGGTTCTTGTTTAATTCTGGGGGCTTGGGGGCAGAGTCTTAACGACTTGTCGTCGTAGCAACCGCAAACGTCCGCATGGACAGGGTTTTGGATGGAAGCATGACGTGTCAGATTCGTGTGAAATAGTGAGGAATGTGTGGACACGTACATGTTGAAGTGTGGCGGATGATTTCACAGATCCTCAGATTTCTTCGCCGTCAGATTAGGATTTGCGTTTAGAGGGTTGTGGTTTTGGGGTGCTGGATGTGGCTGTGACATTCGGATTCGTGACAAGTCTTCGCTAAAATGGTGATTTTGGTGGATGAGAGCGTGTGCAAGTTTTGCTGCAAACATGAACATGATTGAACATGTGATATCCTCACTTTTCGTGGCAGGCGCAGGCGCAGGCAATCGTGAGGTTGCGATGTTTCGTGGAGGTGAGTGTCGCTGTGACATTGGGATTGGTGTGTCAGCGGTTGTGATTTTGATGGGCTGGGATTGCAAAACTGCTTGCCAGGGCTGCAGAATGTGTTGCGTCTGATGCGACTTCCCGCCTCACCTTTGAAGGAAGTCTCGTACAAAACGCTGGTTTTGGAGACTTTGACGCGTGAGTCTGGAGGAAGTCTCGTACGAACACTCATTTTGCAGACTTGACGCATGAGTTTTGGAGGAGTCTCGTACGAAACCTTCGTTTTTCAGACTTGAAGTGCAAGTTTTTGAGCAAGTCTCGTATGAAATGCTCGTTTTGCACTTGACGTGTGACTTTTGGAGGAAGTCCCGTACGAAATGCTTGTTGTGGAGAACAGGCCACTTGGCAGTACAAATGTAGTACTCCCATGGGAGCTGGCCTCCGAACTGGCAGCTTTGTAGTGCAAATGTAGTGCGGGGAGAAGCTTCTGGGAGCTGAGAATCGGCCACTTCCTCATGCAAATGTAGTATGGGAAGCAACTTTGTAGTACATTTGTAGTGCGGGAAGCAGCTTCTGGAAGCCTGCGCATGCGGCCTTGCGCGGCCTCGGCGGAAGGCGCGTTTGCGTGAGGCCGACCATGCCATTGGAGGAAGGAAAACGTGCTGGTGTAAATGCGGCGTGTCGCTGGGGAGCGGAATGATTGGAGGTGTCGATGAGGCTTGACGTTTCATTTTGTATCTAGTCTGTGGCACACCACAAGAGTGTCGCACGAGAGGATCCCACAAGAGTGTTCTACAAGAGTGTCCCACAAGAGCACCGCGTACAAGAGTGTCTTACTGGTTACTGGAGTGTCGCACAGGAGTGTCAAACAAAGTTTGGCCGTTTGTTTTGAGGGTTCCATCTTGATTTTTAGGCGAGGGGAGCAGGGTGGGCAGTAGCTAGTGGCTTTTGAGTAAGCTGCCAGGAGAAGGGTAGCTACTAAGCTTAAGTAGCTAAGCTGCTACCTTCTTGGACGGAGGCTAGGGTTCAGGTTTGATGACTTGGCTCCTAGATTATAAAGGAAAGTTGATCGTAATTAGTCATCTAATATATTATATTGTCTTCAAAAGTTATCCAGGTTTGGTATCTGAGATGGAGCCGCCCCGCTGCGAATTGCTGCTATGAAGACCTACTGGCTAGATCTTCGACTCACCAGCATGGAAGTGGAGGTCTTCCAAGTGGTGGGCAACCCCTTGTTTCTCAGAGAATCATGTTCCCTGCAAATTCTTCCTTTGTGTCTTTGCTTCCATTACATATGATCGGGAACTGGCATCTTGTCATGTGTCGTTACATTGACAAGATCCTTTGAAGGCCGTTCACAGCGGCACTACGACAGTCTCTAGAGGTCAACTGAATCCTTTGGGTCTATCCTATTACCTGTAACAGTGGATGATGATGGTTAGTAGGGGCCTTATCCAAAAATAGTGATAACTGTTTACTGACTGGTTACAAGTAATAGGACAGACCCAATGAATCCTTGCGTGTATATAGAGGTCAAGGTCATGCTTTTGCAGGGTAAAAACCGAGACACAATCTGCTTGAAGTGTCGATGTATTCCATATATGCTGAGTCACCTCTATCATGGAGGAACCCGCTTATGATACGCTTATGTAAAGTCGACCATGGCAAGCGAAATCCTTTGGCGCCGGCTTTCTGACACTGAACGTTCAGGACTGTCCTTCAGCCGTGCTCAGTGCTCAGTGGGCCACGCTACGAAAAACAGTTCCAAGATCGCCATAATATCAGGTCTAACTGGAAACGATCGGGATCAAACAAAAAGGTCTGCAAACGCTCAAGGTATGACCAAATTGGAAAGGTGTTCTCCTGAGCCCCTGCTTCAACCTGCAGAAAAAAAGGTCCGGAAAATGCCCCCTCCACCAAAATAGTGAAAATCATGATAAGCAGCGTTGCAGAACATAACAAACCCCGGTGGGTGCAAGACTCAAGTGCTTGAGGTTTCTAAATTTGGAGGTGCTCCTGTCAGATCTGGATGCCTTTCAAAACAAGTTCATTTGGATGCCTTTCGAAAACATGTGTAAAGCATAAGGGCTTCTTTTCTTGGCCCGCTCCTACTCAATTAAGTAGGCGCATCTTGATTAAGTAAGGGAGCAAGCTTCTAGCAGACGCAGGATAGCTCACGCACTAATGATTTGATTCCTGGATTTTGAGGGAAACTTAACATACAAGACCTGCCAGGCCTCTTGAGGGACTAGACATGGGAATGTAGCTACTTGCAGACTGTGGGTCGATGCAAAAAGGCCAAGCTAGCAAAAGAAAGGGAAGGTGTTGGAATCAGGAAAGCAAAGGAGCTAGTACCTGTCCAAAGTTTGTCTCGCAGCTCCGCCTCTCGCAGCATCTCTTCAAATGGTTCCTTTCATGGAAGGTGCAAATCAATCTGCTGTAGGCAGGCATCATTTATGATAAAGAAATGTTGCATGACATGTCAGGCAATAAGTCTTTCTGATGGGCTGGTACTCCTGCACTTTGGCATCGCCATTCTTGTGCGCTCCATTTTTTACCTCAGCCAACAATTATATACATAGGGACAGCAGGTAGACACTTACATCAATGGTGGACCGTGTCAAAACTTAAACAATCACCAAATCGTCGTCAGGTGGGCGCAAAGCCCACGCTTCTTGAAAATCAAGAGAAGAACAGAGTTGCGGCACCGCCAGATTCCATTTACAAGGCGAAAACTTACTAAGGCTAAAGTTGCAGCTGCACAAAAATCAAGGCAAAGACGAATGCGTTCAGTTCAGCCATGCGATCAAAACTCATTCCTGGGCCAGGCTTCCACAATGCAGTTTTGTGTTCATTTCGAGGTGTTGACAAAGGCTTTAGGCCAGTTATGACTTCAAAGCCACGCCCCGATCCTGGAGCACCAAGAGATGTGCATGAAGAGGTCAAGGATGAAGTCTTGCCTACAAACATGGAACGTCAATGATATATCGCCGATGTAAGCATAAAGTTATGTCATAAAGCTTTTCAGCCCTTGCTTGGGTGGCATATTCGTGTCTACTTATATACACCTCAAATCTTCCGTGCCTCGGGGTGATTTTCGACGCTCCTCGCATGCTCGAAAGGAGCCAGGGCCACTGTGCAAACTGACATTTGCAATGTCCATTGATTGCTGATCGTTACCATATCATTCAGAGTTCCTAAAGGCCAGGGCTGTCTTCCTCGGTTCACTACAGCTGGGCCACCAAGCGAGGCGCTTCAACTCCTCTCGCTCTGTCATGAGCATAGAGACCTTCAAGAGTGGCTTATGCTGTGACCTGCAAGAGTGTCTTTTTCCGCAAGTTGGCCGCCTGTTTCAGCAAGTTGTTCTGGATCATGTTCAGCCTCGTTGGGCCAAAGCATGATTGAATGACTGCATGTCTGACCTGAAGGCATTTCAATTGGCAGAAAACGGCCATGCTGCACTTAGCACTGCAAGAGTGAACACAAAAATGAGCTCCCAACTTCTTCACGCGCTCTCTTAAGCGAACGTTCTCAGCTTTGGCTAGTTCTCGTTCCTGCACCAGTTGCGAAACTCCATAGACACACGAACGTGTTCAGCTCTTTCTCCAACTCCGCTGCGCTGCTCCCTTTTTGCGACTCAAAATGCGAAGGTCGGACAGCTTTGGATCATTCCATTCCCGATAGGCTAGTTACGTGGATATGGCGTTTTGGCCACCCACTTCCCTTAAGGAAAAAAGCTTTTCAAAACACCTTGAAGGCTCCTTGGGGCACTCGCTTCTTGTTCAAAGCAATACTCATGTGCGCCCAAGCTTCTCCACGCAACTGCAAGGTTTGACTGCAGCTCTGACTGCAGTTTTCGGACTGCTCGAAGCCTGTAGGACCCTGTCTACGGCGAGCAGCCAGCAAATCTGGCAGGCAACCCACTTTGTGGGAGGGCCAATTGTCCCTAGGGTCCACATTAAAGTGCCAACGAAAGGGCTAGCACAATTGATGCAGGCAAAAGTCCCAAACTGAACACCTTGTTCATTCTTGTGAGCAACGTAACAGCTGTCGTGAGCCAGGTGAGAGTGATCACAGGCTCAGGCATTATAGAAGCTTTGGGAAATTCTAAGAATGAAATCTCTCAATACTTCGAAGCCAAAGTCTAGAAACGTTTCCCAAACCTTCTCAATGTTTGGGACGATTTCCGCTGCAGCAGCCACCTTCCAATAATGGCAGACTATCCATGATCTGCAAGTTCCGGATGTCATATTCTTCTTCCTCTTCCTGGCCGGCCAGACGGATAAGAACTGCGGAAAACTGAATGAGAAAAACACTACTTGGCAAAGGCCTCCTTGCTGTGTTGATATCTCCAGTACAAAAAGACCACCAGCCCTGCTGCCATTGCAAGCAGAAAGAAGTTCACCAAAGGGCTGAAGAGACCTCTCGCATTCACAAATGCTTTTTGGTGTGCCTACTTACTGTGAAAAAAGTTGAAATGAAGACCAAGGTGTTCGAGCAATCTCATCGTTCGATCCAGTTTCATAGCCTCAAATCCTCATCAAGCGAGCGACGCTACCTTTTCCACTGTCCAGGCCTTTGTTTCGAAAGTTGTTGCTGATAAGAAAGGTAACAAGCACAGGATCTGCCAGCGGGACTTTCTCGGCATTGCCGAAGCCCGACATGCCAGGGGCATTCAAAGTACCTGTCCAATGGGTGACCCAAAGTTGATTGGGATCCCGTCTCAAATCCTTGGTCGTCCAAGGAAGGCAGTCATCAGATTCTGCGGCAACATGCAAAAGTTCCTGAGACGTCTCTTGCGGTTTATATCAGTTCAAACAAGCTTACTGTGTGCAATTTGTTCAGCTTTCTGCCAGGCAGCCAAGACGATGGCATCTCCAGTGTCACGAATACTCACCGCACTCTGACTCTTTGAGTTAATGCCTCCCAAACGTGGCAACAGGCTGGGAAGCGCAGTGGAACGGCCCAAGTAGTTCCCCTCCTGACGCCACGCACGCGCCCCACCGGGCTGGAGAATTGAATCCACGTATCCTTTATTTATCCGGATTGGCTTCTCTGCAAGCTGACAGGTGGCATGCATGACAAAACAAACAATGACGTGCAGGGTGGTTTTTCCATTCAGGATTTACGATCTGGCCAATTCGGGCTTTTGGGCGATTGAGCTACAATGTGACGCATGAATTACTGGATAGTCGGATAGTCATCAGTCTATCAAGGAAGCTTCAGCATCACTCTATGTACTCCAAAAACTGGCAAACCTGTGACTAGCTTGTGAGTATCAGCACCCATGCATTCTGGGTCCTTGTCAAGCAGCTTGTAAACTGTCACCTGAAAGGAAAAGGAGACAAATATAGGAAGCCAGTTTGAGGATGTAAAATGGGAGGTAAGAACGAGAGGCAAACACTAAAGGAAAGCAATAGGAGGCGAAGCACGCAATAGATGGTCTTCAAGTCCGTCTATATTGTTTGGATATGTACTGTTGACCCTTTTTCCAGTGTCTTTCCAAAGCTAGTGACACTACAGGGCTTCCACGTGTGTATCTTGTGAGTCTCTTCCCATTTCAGTCGTTTGAGATGCGGCATGTCACGGGCTATGCCCCGATGCACCCCACCTGAGATGTTGGATCCGACACACTCGCAACTTGTCCAACCTCTCCTGCGCCAAAGCGGGCAACAACACTGTGTAGCAGACGGCAACATGTATAACTGTATACTGGTAATCCGCCTCAAGGAACCTGCTAGTTCAAGTTCTGCCAAGATCTTCACGATGTCAATATGTTCAAGGAAAAAATATTAAGATGCACAGGTGCGGGTCCTCTGTAGACCACTTGACCATTGCAGTCATAGACTTCGAAGTTGCAATAGTTCCACGGAAGGCAAAAGGACTTGGAGGAGCTTCCCACTACGTTGAGGCCCGGCATCACCAGAACGGAACTGCCTTGGGATGCTGGTGAATTTCTTACAATAAAGAAATGTGCAACACTGCCCTGCAACCTTGAACAAGTCTTCCAAGCTTCGACCCTAAAAGCACTGCACACCGAACTCACGAATCTGGTATGTCAAGTCTATTTTGGTGTCACTTTAGCATTTTGGTTGCACGCTCGTCAAAGAAATGACAAGAGGCAACTCCTTGGCATGAGAGAGAGAGAGGAAAAACAAAGAATGAACAAAGATCCGAAGCATCTATCTCTTGTCATCTAAATCTGGCTTCTTAGGTTCTGTTGAAATCAAACCTGAATGTGCCCCGAACCACTGCAAGTTAGCAGCTAGCCAGCTGATCTGGACAACAAAATGACACGAATACTCACTCCTTTTTTGAAAACAATACCGCTGTGGCTGTCTGTGACGGCAAGAAACTCTTGCCCAAAATGGAAGGCCTCTGCTCAACTTTGGAGAAGAAGGTCTCACCATTGTAGATTGTCTCTGTGGCCCAGAATGTGAACATCTCCCGTCGGAAGATGAAGGTATCCGGCATGATCGGTACCAAAGGGCATAACTGACCCGCCACACCTGACCAAAGAACATGGATCGAAAAAATCACCAAACTGGTTTGAAGCAAGGAGCATCAACCTACATGAAACGCTTGTTTGGCACAAGAGTGGCAAAGAATAGAACCTGGATCGAATCTTTCGATGGCCAGTGGTCATCAAAGAGGTTGGATAATTTCAACTTTGATTACAGGCACAAAGCAAACAGGATGGACGACGAAGAACGAAAAGGCTGATCATCAAGCCCTCTCAAAGCCTGGATGCATCAATCAGAGAAATTTCAGCGGAATGTGCCACCCCAGAGATACCGTTGAGCGAACCCTGGTGAAAACATTGGCGAACAGCAGCAAGACAGGCTTAAAGATTACTCACAGTGAGATATCACCGGACAGTTCATCCGTTGGACTTCCTTATCTTGACCTCATGGAAAAAGTTTGGTTACAGTTCTGAGAAACAGTTTTCCAGCTCATCAAGAAGAACCAACTGATATCCATGGCAAAAAAAGACGAACAAGGTCGATATCTTGATGCAGTGTGAGAAGGGAACTAGACTTCAAGAAAACATTCTAGTTGTATACTAACTGAGAATCTCCATTGAGACGTTGAGGAAGCATGTTTGGGAAATGTTGGAATATGTAGGGAATCCTTCTTGAAAATCTTCCAACTATTGTGTGAGAGCCAAGTGCAATGTCAAGAGTTGATGATGGACCCTCAGAACAGATTGCTCAGAAAGCAACGGCTGAAAAACTTACGCAAAGTCAGGAGCCACATGAGTTGCGCATCAATGGCTTTCTGCAAGGGCCCATCCTAGTCGGGATGATTAGGGATTTGTCATTTGCAATCTTTGGCACAAGGGAGGTGACAGTTGTGTGATGTTGCCTGGCAATGGCCTCAGTGATTGCAAGGTGATCGCAAGTACGCACTCTGCACAAAATGGTGGTCCTGTAATTGTTATCCACACCAAAAATGATCGTCAGAGGTGTTGACTGACACACTAGTGCACCAGGGAATCCCATGATAAAGTTCGAGAGAGAGACAGAGGGGAAACGATTTTCAGCAGGAAGAAGAGCAGCTTGAAGCAAAACTTCCCTCCGGAAGGAAATGGCTCATTCAAAAACGCTTCCGCTCATTTTAGATTGGACATGCCAACTTTTGTGCGCATGAGAACCAAGTCCAGGCCTTGCACTAGCACGGCCAATGTCAGCTGCAAGAACATGGCAATGTCTGCGAGCCGTTTGATATCTGACTGTCTAGCAACACTAATGCAAACGGCAAACCTGGACTCTCAGCTTCATGTCTGCGCTGTTCGTAAGCTTGTCCAATGCAACTGGATAGCAAAACTTAATCTATATATTCTATATGTGCATCCAAAATGGCCGCGGCTCAGACAGGTTGACCGTGCGAAGGACAAACTCAAAAAAAACAGCTTCAATCGTGCAATACCACTTTCAACTTATACCCAGCGCATCTGCAATCGGTTGCAGTGTCTCGTATGCAAATACTGCAAATTGGATTACAGTCATCAACAAGCATGATTGTGAGCTGTAACAGGGCTATGTGGTTTGCAAGGGGAAATGCACATGTGCAGGCTTCTAGAGATATTGTGTTCATTCTGCCCGTGACTGACAGATTGTAATGCGTGAGGCAGCTTGCGGCTCAAATGCAGTTTTGGTGCTGAAATGAGAGGCAGTGATAGTCTTTTAGCACGCAACAGACTTTTGCCCACCAATGGCCGGATATGTGTTGTGTCACTTCATGAAGGTCGCTGACAAAACACAAGCTGCACGTGTGACAGCAAGACTCTTCACGCCTTTGTCCAACTAGACTCTCTGGTTGCTGGCCTGTTGAACTCGTTGCTCGAGTTGGCTTTGCTCCCACGCTAAGATCTCTTCCTGTCATTGACAATATCCAAGTTGGAGACATGACCTTCAATTCTTCACAACAGCTACTTGAAGGCCATTCAAGCTGGCAATGCAAAGAAGCACAGAAGCACAAAAACATGGGACCTTTTCGTCGATCATATCCATAAGCTCCTTCTTTTCCTGCAAAGTGATTGCAGACCCTACAACTTTTACTCTGAACACAGGTGCAATCTCAGGATGCAAAAGCATTCTAGAAGAAGACAGGCTCTCTTTCAAACAAACACTGTGAACCCTATGGAGTGGCAATGCGCAGTCCTCCTCAAACTCCAACTCTCGCTTTTGGAGGTCATCTTGCATTCCTAAGCCCCACGGATCAGATTGGGCATGTTGTGACACAGATCATGCTATGTCTGCCCCATTCTCTTCATTTTGAACATGTACACTGAGACCCTTCACGCCGCATCTGCTCCTGGGCCATGCGAAGCTTCTCCTGGGCACAAAGAACTGTTGCAACATGAATGAACAAGGAAGAGCAAACGTGGCATCAGAGGCAAACTAGGTCGAAAGTCCAATCCATTGCTCAGGATGAAGGTCAACAGGCTCCTCTTGCCCTCATCTCCCTATCCCAGCTTGTGGCCTCCGTTCTTTGATGGGCCTGTTCTTCTCTTTGAAGCAATGCACCTGCTCGAGTTTGCACGTACCACAAAAACACAACTTGAAGCAAAGCTATATAGGCCACACTAGACCTTGTGATGAGTCGCATGATCTCTGGAAAGCAAAAGGACTGCCGTTCATTTTCGGGTTTATTGCTAAGGTGCTCTGCGGCAGTTGATTGAAACCAGAGTATCTTCTTTTGCCTTGAAGCTTGTGAAGAGCACCGCTTGGGAGCCAAGTTCATGAAAAGGTATGATGCGATGATGCCAGCTGTATGTGCTGAGCCAATAAGTTCACTTTGACATGGCTGCTGCTGGCGCCAAGTGGCCGTAGTGTTCTTCCAGGCTTGGAGCTGACAAAGAGAAGGACATGGGCCTGGAGCCGAGTCCAGGCATTGTGAGCAGCACGTGCTTGCATCTCTCTCTCAGAGAGTACTTGGCCCACAAGTAGATATGGGCGGCACCACAAGCCAGTGTATCCTTGCAGTCACACCCCAAAAACCCTTGTTGGCCCATAAGGTGTGTCCTCAAATATGTCTCTTCTGCACTTCTACTGATCTCCAGGCCAAATTCATACAACATAGACTGCAGAGCCCCATCCATGCAAGAGCCCCATCCTCTCAGCCTGTCCGGTCCAATGCATTTAGGTCTTCACTGGCTGGGACCCTCGCGTGCTTTGGGACGTCGGCGGCAGCTCACGGCCGGCCTAAGACTCCAAACGGGAGCTTCGCCCAATCGGACATGTTTTAACTAAAAAGGTAGTAACAAGTGCCACGCTAGTAGTAACAGGTGCCTTACTAGTAGT